AGTGCATACCCCTTCGCCAATATAACAATGACCAATCATTCTACACATTAAAATGAAGGACATATTACCTGCAGTGAAAGAGTTCATTAATTTAGCAGTCAAAAAGGTTAAGAGTCTTGACCTTGCTGACCAAGCAACAGCTCACTCGACACATTATTAGCATCCTACTATCTCAATGCATCAAAATTTTTGCGTGTCCAAATTAAGTTTGAGAAAATTAATTAACTAATGAAAAGATTATTAAACAAAAAACGCGAGGTATAGAATGAAATCAACACAATGAGCTTTCTTTATCATTATCTTGATTTATCATGATATTTTAAGAACAACGAAGTTTTAAAATTATAAATTTGAAAATAAAATGTTTTATGCTGTGAAACTGAATCTCTGTATTATGTTTCTGCAATGCTGTATGTGTGATTCTAAAAAAGATAGCATAGTTCAAAGAAAATTCAGAGTAGCATAAAAAATTGAAGTGGAGAATTGTTTGATTTAACTTTTGAATATCTGAACGGTTATGATTTAGGTAATTTTCAGATCGTTGGATCGGTCACTCTACCATAAAGTTAAAATCTTTTTCCTTTTTAAGAAAAACTCCGTTTCACATTGAGTTGTTTTGAACATTGGAAAGAGAACAGGTTTTGAAAGTTAGAATTGTAATGATAATATCTTTTATGAGCACTTTTATGAGCGCAGTTTGTTCAAATCTAGCCAAATCAAAATTTATTAAGAAATTATAGTCTTCAGTCCTGAAAATAAATCTGAGTCAAAATTGGGTTGATTGTAACGATGAACATTACCGTCTTTTTTTATTTGATGTGTCAATGCACTAATGGAATGTGCTATGATCTCATATCCAACTTTATCTTTTTGATAGTCAATTTTCTAATTATTCTTTTTGTGAAAATTACTCTGAAATTTTGCTTGCGTTAAAAATTATCTAATTTGAAAAGTGTCGATTTTTTTTTTTATCACATCTTTTTTTTCAAAAATTCAACAAGGTAAGCAATAATTTTTAGGGAAGGCGGAGGTGGAATGTGGCGAAGATACGATTGAAGTGGTGTTTCTGACGGAAAGCGTGTTCCAGGGTCGAATTTACGTGGTAGGACATTCAAACGACGAGCGCTGTGTATCACGCGATACTGGACGCCAGACTACATCAATCACGGTGCGGAAGGATCAGTGTGGTGTCTCTATTACGAGATCCGTTAGTTCATTTATCATTGCGTGATCACATTTACACATACATACCTTTCAGACTTGCTCTGTATTCAACGACATTAGCTTGAAAAGACACAATGGTCACAACTATTTTGAACATGTCTAATTTAGACTATCAGTGACCTTTGCACCTTCTTCTGTAATTGATTTCTGTTCTTTCACTTTTCTAAATTAAAGGCGTAGTACTGATATTATGAAGAAATTTGCAATCAGCTTTTACCGCTCATATTTACATATTTACTCACTTCCACAATAAAATTAGCTTCAGCTGAGCATTGCAATATTAGATAAAACTTCATTGTTTTTGCTTTCATCGCGTTGATTATCCAATTTTCTTGTTGGAATCTTACAAGTATGTTAATGAATCGAAGTAAGATGAAGTGATTAGATGCATCTATACGTAGAGGTCGAACTTTAACCTCGATAATGATGTAGTGTAGTCTAGAAAGTTACCACTCTCTAGTCAAGCAGAAAAAAATTCCAGGTTCGAGACAAATCTAGTATGTTTAACTCATTTTTCTTTGTCTCATTTTCTCAAGTCAAAACATATATCACTGTCGGGTTGTACTATCAGTGACCCGAACCTTCTATTTTCTAAATGTAGGTGAAAGTTTTTCGAAATTGTAACCCTACAGCAATTAAAAGCGTTGATCGAGTTTGATGAATCATTTATAGCACTTTTGAAAATGTAGTGACTGGGTTAATTTGTGTTTTATTTTACCTTTCCATCAGTCATCTTTTTGTTCCCATAACGGAGATAGAAATAAGGTGAGAGGGATTATTCAACTGTTGGAGGATAAAAATTTTTTATGGAAGTTAAAAGTTTTCAAAGAGCCATCAAAGTCACCATTATAGTATTTTTTATTACAGGAAATCAAGATTGGTTGTTACAAACTTATTGATTGGTTATTAGAAAGTGTTGGATTTTGTATTTTTTTTTTTTATGAAAAAGGGGACGAGGAGAGACAGGTTGTTTTGAACAAATGATAAAAAATAATAAATGGTCAGTGCAATGTCTGCGATCGCCTTACCTCTCACAATTAGAAACAGGTATATGGCATAGGAAAAACAAGTCATAATTTCTTCACTGATCAAATCTATAGATAAAAATAGCCCATAATGGGACTAATAAAAGTAAGTAATGTTTATAGTCTTTTCAATTTCAATTCAATTAACATATTAAGACAATTACATATTTACCTTTATCTTTTTATCATTCTACTGTTACTAATCGCTGTTTAAGAAGTGAAAATAGCACACATTTGGTAGGCAATTATGGAGTGCATCTTGCATTATTCACTTAATTAATTCGCGTAGAGTTGGGGAATACCTAGTTCCGAATTTTTTTTTGAAATTGAGAGAACCAAATTTTCATTGACTGACTGCTTGGAAAGTAATTAAATTATGGCCTACACTTCGAGTTTTATGACTACTTTATGCGTTTCACTTTTTAAATTTCGAAGTGTTTTGGCTTTATTGTTTCACTTCAATTGATTGAAATTGTAGATAAAATTTATGCAATTGAACTGAATTAGAAATTAAACCAACGTACATCTTATTAGAGCAAACTGCCAAAATTAATTGTTTATTTGGCATTTTGGATTTTTTTAATCTCAAATTTTTATATTCAGGTTTTTTACACTTTGAATTAAAAAACCTTACTTTAGCACAATAAAATGTTATTTTCTGCAGTAATTTCAAAAAATACTATCAAGTGTCTTTGAATTAGTCTTACGTATGAATAATCACAGTGTCCCATATACAAATATTAGAATCAGTGAATGTCAGTTCTAAAATACCATCATTTATTACTATGAATTGTAATACATTCATTTGATTTCTTTCAGTCTTACTATTTAACTTAATGACTCTTCACCGCACCATAATACCATATTCTGAGATCTGAGTATATCCAAAAAACATAGTTGGCAAGAGTGATTCGAAGAATCCATACATTAACAATTCGATGATTCAAATAACATCCATAAATGAGAAAGTTTTTTTAAAAAAACTTTTTTTTACTAAAGGAGCATAGTCATCTAATTTTTGGAAGTTAGAATCACTTTTGCTAATCTTTTTTTTTTTTTGAACTATGTGAGCAGAAACGAAGTCTGTAGAGGTAGCATTGACACAATATGGCAACGAACGATATGGCAAACAACAGCCTTCGTTGATACAACTTGTTTATTTTTCATGAAATTTTATTTCGAAGACCTCATTTACGAAGACATTTTCATGGCATGTGACATGGATAAAGATGAACTTGCTGACATACCGCTGACGAATGAATTTTGTTAGTTCTGTAAAAAACAGCGAAACAAACAAAATGTCTTGTAATCACGAAAAACTAAAATTGATTGAGAATTTATGCCAGATTGGAAAAGTTTTAATTTTAAGGCAATTGGAATTGAATAAACTGGCATGTCAGCTTCTATTCAATACAATAACTAATTGCTTCTATTTTTCGTGTTTCATAATTTTAACTTTCATATAAGAGATAGACAAATTTTCCTGTTTGCTTTTATATTCAGGCTTGTTAAAATTTGCCCAGAAATTCGATAGTGTATCACAGCTATTGAATGAAAATTTCAGAGTTTGTTTACGCCTATTTTACTAAATTATGGTTTGAAGTTATCGCAGTGTTTTCTTATTGATGGCTTTACTTACTGCAGTTTCGATTGCATGTAGGGTAATTCAAAAAAAAAGAAAACTTCGAAATTTGAAACATGAATGTGTACTGAACGTTGATAAATGATAAAAAATAATCAAAAGAGAAATTATAGAAAGTGATTGAAAATATTGAAAAGCTAATAATTGTATAACACTGTCAAATCATGACCGAAGTTTTTGGCCAAAGAAAATGAAAGATTGATGAACAAAGAAACGATTAAAGCAGGAAAAATAGGAAATTATCTTTAACAAGGGCGAATACATAATTTATCTATTCAAAAAATCTCATAAAAACTAAATTTCTGAGATAAACGGAAATTTAGACAAACAATCAGAGCTAACTATATAACCTTCAATACAATTCTTAATTAGTTGTCAATTATTTCATTGAGTTTTATGTGATGCATAACTGAAATTGAGCTGGATGATCTGGAAGTAGTTACTTGAGTTGTTTTATTAATCACTTATTCTCTATCTATATGAATAACTCTATCAATGCTGTTATTTTTCAGATTGACAGATACCAGAAAAACCACTATGTAATTATTAAAAGCATTAGGAGCAAGGATCTTATAAATTTTGTTAAATTATCTTTAACAAAGACGAAGACATAATTAACGTTTTCCATTGATTGTTCAGAAAGCCAGTTTTTTTTTTTAATTGAGCAACCATAGGTGTTATTGTACTCATTTATCGCTATGATATCATAATAAAACAGAAGCGATAATGAGAACACATTTTTCGTCATCTAACAAAGAAAAGATTTCTTTTTAACAGCTGCTTTAGTCGAGTTAATTAATAATAAATTCATTTGCACGAACTGTATGAGAATAGTAAATGTCCGATGATTTTTGTAGATATATACAAGTTGAATAATGCCAATGTTAAAGAAAGAGAATGATCTTTCACAAGAGAATAATTTTCAGTGCTAACCACTACTTCGTCCCTTTTAAAACGGCAAACGAAAAAAAATAAAATGCAAAGACCCAAAAAGTTAGAACATTTTGCGCAAACAATTAACTGTCTTCAAAAACAAAATAATGTTTTAGTTTAAATTCTTATTTCTTTTCTAAGGTAAATTTCACCGATTGCAGACCAATCCACCAGGTATGTTTGCAAATGTGAAAGTGATGATCTCATTTCATGAAGAATTTATCACGAAAGTTGATAGGGTTAGTTCATTATTCATTTGATTTTAAAAATTTGCAAATGGAATAAAATAGATTGGTACTATAAATTTCTTGATTAATCGAAGACCTCACTATTTTATTTTTCTGAGGAACAAAATTTGTTTTAAATTCAGTTTCACCATTTATTGTTCGAAATTACTTTGTGTTCTGGCAAATTATAAAACAAAAATATTGTCTATCAGTGGAATAGACTGCTCGACATAAATATCATCAAACATTTCACTTTTAGGGCTATGAAATTAGCTGTTTCTATATGGAAGCAGATAAAACGGTAACATATCCATTGACAGTATCAATGAAATCGTTGGAACCGTTCACAGAACTGGCAGAAATGCCACGATGTCATTACGAAGTAGTGGATCCGATTTCCATGGAACCATTGTCGGTAGTTTCTGTTGGCAGCAAATTGCTTCATAAATGGAAATGTGATTCCACTTCTACGAGTAAGATATTTTCTGGCGCACGTAAATTAATTAGCAACAGCTTAGGTGCTGATAGATAAGAATGATATTATTTCGGGAAGATTCAACTTCAATAAGGAATCCACGGTAGAGGTTAGGTATTGATTGTTTTTGTTCAAAAATAATCAATACCTAACTGATATGCTAACAATACACGATAATTAGCATAGTTTCACCAATGCTTAATTGTCCAATTAAGCTAAACAGAGAAAACAAAGAAATAGGTAAAAAGAAATGATTCTACGGCTCAACTCATTCGCGATTGGCAATATTTTCAACACTTTAAAACTTCAAATTCGTCATTTTTTTTTCTTTTGCTTCCGAAATTACTAATAAAATAATCCGCGTCTCGCCTTTTAATTTAAATCTAGCTTTCTTATTATATTCATTTCAATTAAAGTTAAATTTCTATTGCTACCACAAATTCAAATCTCAGACCTATGGTGTATGACAGTTCATTCATGCTTTGTTGAAGATGGATCTGGTACGCAATTTGTTATTCTCAATGAGGATGGGTAAGTTTTGCGTCCTCCATTTCACCATTTTGCTTTAAAATTTTTGTATAAAAAGCATTTCATAAGTATATGACTTTGTCGGAATTAAAATAACAGATGTACAAATAGGAGTTATAGTTATTTTGAAAATAGCTGTATAAATATTATGGTAATTTAATAGGAGTAGAGAAATTAAAGAAATAATTTCATTTTGCTAGACTGCATCTGCGATATTTGCCATGAATTAAATTTCGTTTTAGATGCGCAATCGATCGATACCTGTTGGATAATCTAGAATATGGCCCGAATGAATTAGAAGCGCAAAAAGAAGCACATGCTTTCAAATTTGCAGATAAAGTGGTAGTGAACTTTCAGTGCTCAGTCAGATTGGATATTCGGGATGGCGAGTGTCCAGTAAGTTATATTCGAATAGTACGAAAAAATTATTTGTTTTACAGAGTGTAAGCAACAAATTTGGTTTTTTGCAAATGATAAGTTTATATGCTCATACCCATCTTATATTGTAGGATTCCTACCATCTCTAAACTTCCCAAATTTGTTTAAAAAATCAATTAAATGGACAACGTTGTTCACTTAATCCTTTTTCTTAAATTCTATTTCCACCTCTTAACTATTTTGTGTTCTATTGTTTGTTTGGAAATGAATATATGTTTTATGATGTTCAGAAGCCACGATGTCGAGACTTGAGCAATCAAAAAAAAGCAGTAAGACGACGAGCATTGCCGGATCTGCCGCTAGCCTTGAACTTAACTGACCGTATGGCTGAAGTAGACGTCCGTTCCCAACAGCTCGACGTACTGGACACTCAGCTAGGTAGATGTTCTCCTCTCATTTTTAAAATTTAAAGTTAAATTCTTCCGCCTTTCCTCTCATAATAATATATAATTCAGATTTCGGCGTTTCACCCAGTAACCCTCGAATAGCCGCACAGATTCGTCGACTGCAAAGGCCGCAAGGTGACTGTATCAGTATGACATCAGCAGTCTTAGGTGTTTCATTTTGCGCATCGGTGATGCTTGTGTTAGTGGTTCATATCGTATATCTTTACAGAAGGATACAACTTAAACGATAGTAGAATGAAGTTAGACGGAACACGAAATTAATGTAAGCGATGCGATTCTTACTTGTGCTTTTCCGTTGGTTCGCATTCTTTTTTATAAAACGTACATCCGGGTAAAGTTTGTACTTCTATTTCTGGGAATGAAGTTCAAATTTTTATTCTTAGAAATTCATCATCTCTTCATTCCCAGAATTTTTGTAGCAGATACCCGTGTTTCTGCTGCCATTTCCTTAAAAAATAATTTCCGATGAAATTACCATTTATTGCGCAAAATGGCAGTGCAATTTGAGAGACTTCACTTTTGCTTATAATCAAAAATTCATTTCCTACATACGGGCTATTGAGAACTTATTAGCATTGCCGACTATTTGTGATGGAAGTGGACGTGATTTGAGTTCAGGCAGTTAGTTTTTCTTCATTTTTCTTGAAATGTTAGAGAAATCACTTTTTTATATATTACTTGAGATTTATCTTTAACAAAGCTCGGCTTTAACTTAACTCTATGATATCAAGTCCCTCCTGATTAAACGATTGATTCAGCATATGCTTTGTTGGGTGAATGGATAATAATTGAAATTATCGTACAAATGAAGCTTTTTTGTGACACTATTGTCGATTGACATCGGTAGTGAAATTCTAAAAGAAACTGAACACAACATTTTTTTCAGTTCCCAATTCTTTTCATAGAGCTAAAATAATCATTGCTTACTCCATTATTGGTAAATCTCATACCTCTCTTCTTAAGAATCATCTTTGAATGAATCACCGCATAGAGAGGATGACTCAGTCAAATTTTTTTTCATGGAATTATTGCTAATATTATTGAGAATAGTATAGGGTCATTTGATTGCAACTAATCAGTTGATCAAATCAATCGACTGATGACCACCATCCTTTTCTATGCCATTCCTCAAAATCAAATTTTGCTTCTGCTAATAATTCAGCGACAATACGTTGTTGCTATATATTGTACATTATTGTTTATTCGTTCATTCATGTATTTGTGAATTTGTACCTTCTTTTGACATAATTTCCAATTTTGTTAATTATTAAATTGAAATTTTTGTTCATAAAATATTGCTTAATTTTTGTTTATCATTTCGAAAAGTTTGTACTGTATTATTTGTGCGTGCTTCATTACCTGATAAAAAATTTTCAGAATTCTATGAAGATAGAGAGAGGAACATATAAAATTGAATAGTAACTAATGAGACTGAAATTGAAGATTAAATATGCTAAAATGAGGAAAAATTTTTAAGGCGATAACAATTTAACATAGTTTGAAACATCAAAATTAGTATTACGGTGATAGTAGCAATTGGAAATGATGTTTTTATCATATCTTAGCCAACAATTATGGAGCAGTTAATGGCTCCAAGCTATAGCTAAATCGGCACAATAAAATTCATCCGATTCATCGTAGCAATCTACAAAACCATCGCATCGTTGCGATCGCAAAATACATTTACGATTATCACGACAAGGGAACATGCGCTCATCATGCATGCAAATCGATACAGCTACAACAATTTGTATTAATAAACTTTAAACAAATTCAAGAAAGCCAAAGAATTCAAAAGCAAAAACATTTCGAACACTTATTTTTTAACACTGATACAAAGAAATAGTTTTCATAAAGAAGGGAATGGAGAAACACTTACGACATTCCATTTCATCATCTCCATTTCTACAATTGTACGATTCATCACACCGATATATTAAATTGAGACATCTGAAATACTTATCTTGAAAAATTTGACATTTACGATGTAAATAGACTTATCCCTAAAAAAAGAGAAGAAAAATGATGTTTCCGATAAATAGAAGAGACCAAAAGAACAAACGAGAAGGCCGGAAGTCAACTCTTTTGGATTGATAATATGTCAGAAGATTAATTAATTATATTTCGTAAATGGTAAGTTTCTACTGTATTACTATAACATGAATATTTAGTGCTTGCAACAGTAGCGAACTTTTTTATGTGCCAAATCTAAAATCAATGAGATGAAACCAATGATCCGTGAAATTTCAAATCATTTGCGATAGAAAAATATTACTATTCTGAAAATTTTTGCTCAAAGTTGATCGCAATAAGACTGAAAACAGGAACTGAATTTAGATCTGTCTATAGCAGGAAGAATTCTTATAACAAATTTTCTCTGATTCCTTAATTATTAATTCAAAAAAAAAAATTATTATTAATTCGAAAATGATACTTGTGATCCGGCCGTGAGCACAGTAACTGATGTTTCGTACAGTTTGGTTCACAAAGACCGCTTTCATGCATGATAAATCCTTCGGCGCATAGACATTGTTGTCCTGAACCGTCAAGCTTCGGTACACAGATATGTTGGCATGTTGTCACTTGACAAATGTTAGGAGCTGAAGTATAATTAAGTTGTAATTAAATGAAAAAAACATTTCACAGCAAACTGGTAGGATTCTAGTAAATTTTGAAGCTTGTTTTTTAGATCTAGAAGCTTTTTTTATTTATTCACGTAAGTATTACAAAAAAGATTATGGCATACCTTCCATTTGCATGAAAGGATGATATGCCTTGAGGGAATACGGTGGCAATACAGTCTCCATCAGCCTTGTTGAGTTTTGACCGGTAAGTTTATTAGCAAAAAGAATTCCACGACGAGTCCAGTCGCTCCAAAAGATCGTATCGTCAAATATCGTTAATCCGAAAACATGCGGCACCAACTTATCGTCACTGATTACAGTTCGTCGACCCGTTCCGTCCAAATTTGCCATTCTAGATTAAAGGTTAGAATAAAAATCATGAGAAAATTTTAAATGAGGAGTTCTTCCTGCTACATTCAAATTATGATACTAATCGGAAATTTATACAATATAATCTTCGCCTTAACCAGAAAACATTTAAAAAAATTAATGAACTCAATAACGTCGCGGAAAGCATCGGCCCAGTAAAGACGTTCTGCGAAATAATCGATAGCTAGTGCATTTGGCCAAACTAAACTTTCAGTGACGATCTTTTTTGCTTGAGTACCGTCCATAGCAAGACGGACTATAAATGGTTTCACTCCCCAGTCGCTTGCAAACAGTTCACTGTAAAGAATGTATTTGCATGGAGAACCATGGAGAATCACAAGAATTTCTAACAATTTTATATCCTATTTTCGAGGAGAGTGTTTCGAGAGTAGACAAAGCACAAGGAAAAAGTTGAATCTTTTGCTACTTATTTCACAAAAGCAAGATATCATCTAATTTAGCCAAATTTTGTTTGACAATTGTCACATTATACAGAAGAAAACATGAAGGTCCCACCATTTACAATCTGATACTGCAATGAATGCCGGATGAATAATGTCAGTTTTTTTTTAGTATTAGTTACGCTGCTTGATTATTGCAGATAGGAAATGTTAGTTCAATATTAGTTACAAAGTAACTTCAAAACTATAAAATGTTTTCCAGAAAAGAAAAAAGAACCGTATCGAAGGATAAGCGACCAAAGCTCGAGGCAATTGAAAAAATCCATCATAAAGTAATGCTCTATAAAGACCATCAAGACGTTGCACATGTAATTGCTTGTAACGTAGAGTATACAAATTCCTGAATGGTACCTGGTCTCGCTTTTTTTAACATTATTTTAATCTATGCTTAATTTTTTTCATTTTCTTTCAAAAGCAGGGATGACTGTGTTTTTGAAAGAATGTAAATTATTAAATCAATGATCGAATTGATAATTTGATGAAATGCCCTATGCTTTAAATTGTAATTCATAAGATCTGATAGATTTTTTCACTATACTATCATCATTGCCGTTGCTATTAAGAGAGTTAGAATTGTTGCTAAATAGTTTTACATAAAAAAAAAAAACCTTATTATATTTTAGTTTAATAATGCTATGACGATTAAAGTAAATTAGTAACCTATGTATCCAATCAATAGCGATTCCTTCTGTACCTTCAATATCATGGTTTTGTATGATATGTACTCTGTTTCTATCAAGCAAATTTACATACTGAATTGAATTTCTCGTTAGATCCACATAGTATAATTTCTTTTCCTGGAATACAATTTAATGCTATAACTTTTTTTTGTGTATACAAATGAAAACAATGAAGAAATTCTGAAAAGATTCAAAATTTTCAAAGCGGTTAAAAAACAATAGTGGATCTTTTTTATGAAATGATCTACCTTCAAGTCGTAGTCGAACATGGCCACTTTTTCAGCTCTATTGCTAGGTACCAACTTAAGCTGAGATTTTGCATTATATGTTATATTCCATACACTATGAGAATGAGCCAAGAAAAACACGACGGATTCTGGAAGTATATCATCAGATTTATATGTGTATTACTCCCTTATCGCTTATAATATTCTTTGAAATTGAAATACCTCACTTAATGAATTTGCTGTTGTTCAAAAAATACTAAGCCATTCTATAAACAAGCATTACTGAAAAAAATTAAAGTAATAAATATAACGATTAACCATTATCAGTTCGATAGCACCGACGATTATTTCGAGCCAGTCTATAGAAAGGGCCAAAACACTCACAATCATAGCTACCTTGCTTATTGATACATTTCTGCGAACAAAAATGTTTATTGGATGCGCATTCATCTACATCTAAATAGCAATAAGGTATAATTATGATAGTATGATCTATAAGGTATAAGTATGGTCGAATTTTTTTATTTTTACTTTGTTTATATCACTATTTTTATCAAATCATTCAACATCATAATAATATTTTCTACATTTAAGTGAAATTGCCACGACTCGCAATTTAAAACTTGAAGTGAACTTTCTAAAATGACTGTTGATTAAAGAATTAAAAGTAAGAAAAAGTCTCAAATCTCAAGATTATCTTAAAGCTGAATAATCATTCAAATGTTCCTAAATTACTTAAAACTAATATCAAATTACTGAATTGAACTATGAAATTCTTCTCTAGAAATATGCAAAAGATATCTTTTCGTGATAAAAGTGAGCTATCGTACTTACCAACACATTCTGCCAATTGTTTGTTATAATAGAAACCCTCTGGACATTTGATTATTTTGCAATTATTACATGTCTGGAGGTCAGAATTATTGCTAGCATCTATAACATTTATAATATTTCCGGAGTCAACTTTTGCATGAATGAAATATTTATTTATTTCCACAACTTACCATTAATCAAAAATTATTGCTGATCATTAATTATTAGGAATTTAAAATTCTTCCTCTTAAAAGTATTCTTCCTTTGCTGAGCCTGATGATCATTGATATTCTGAATTGTACTGATGTGGTGATGATGATATTATCTATTATGATTGATAAAAAAAACATTTTAGTACGTAAGAGTTGAATTACAAATAAGCACCAACTAGAAATGTTTTCATTGAGATCAGCTGTTGGTTGTCGATCTGACCAATCAGGAACGGATTCATTAAAATTAGCTGTTGGTTGTCGATCTGACCAATCAGGAACGGAACGGTTGTCGATCTTCAGGAAATCTGACCAATCAGGAACGGTTTCATTCAGATCAGCTGTTGGTTGTCGATCTGACCAATCAGGAACGGTTTCATTAAAATTAGCTGTTGGTTGTCGATCTGACCAATCAGGAACGGTTTCATTCAGATCAGCTGTTGGTTGTCGATCTGACCAATCAGGAACGGTTTCAGATCTGAATCGGTTTCATTAAAATTAGCTGTTGGTTGTCGATCTGACCAATCAGGAACGGTTTCATTAAAATTAGCTGTTGGTTGTCGATCTGACCAATCAGGAACGGTTTCATTCAGATCAGCTGTTGGTTGTCGATCTGACCAATCAGGAACGGTTTCATTAAAATTAGCTGTTGGTTGTCGATCTGACCAATCAGGAACGGTTTCATTAAAATTAGCTGTTGGTTGTCGATCTGACCAATCAGCTGTTGGTTGTCGATCTGACCAATCAGGAACGGTTTCATTAAAATTAGCTGTTGGTTGTCGATCTGACCAATCAGGAACGGTTTCATTAAAATTAGCTGTTGGTTGTCGATCTGACCAATCAGGAACGGTTTCATTAAAATTAGCTGTTGGTTGTCGATCTGACCAATCAGGAACGGTTTCATTAAAATTAGCTGTTGGTTGTCGATCTGACCAATGACCAATCAGGAACGGTTTCATTAAAATTAGCTGTTGGTTGTCGATCTGACCAATCAGGAACGGTTTCATTAAAATTAGCTGTTGGTTGTCGATCTGACCAATCAGGAACGGTTTCATTAAAATTAGCTGTTGGTTGTCGATCTGACCAATCAGGAACGGTTTCATTAAAATTAGCTGTTGGTTGTCGATCTGACCAATCAGGAACGGTTTCATTAAAATTAGCTGTTGGTTGTCGATCTGACCAATCAGGAACGGTTTCATTAAAATTAGCTGTTGGTTGTCGATCTGACCAATCAGGAACGGTTTCATTAAAATTAGCTGTTGGTTGTCGATCTGACCAATCAGGAACGGTTTCATTCAGATCAGCTGTTGGTTGTCGATCTGACCAATCAGGAACGGTTTCATTCAGATCAGCTGTTGGTTGTCGATCTGACCAATCAGGAACGCTTTCATTAAAATTAGCTGTTGGTTGTCGATCTGACCAATCAGGAACGCTTTCATTAAAATTAGCTGTTGGTTGTCGATCTGACCAATCAGGAACGGTTTCATTCAGATCAGCTATTGGTTGTCGATCTGACCAATCAGGAACGGTTTCATTAAAATTAGTTGTTGGTTGTCGATCTGACCAATCAGGAACGGTTTCATTAAAATTAGCTGTTGGTTGTCGATCTGACCAATCAGGAACTTTCATTAAAATTAGCTGTTGGTTGTCGATCTGACCAATCAGAACGGTTTCATTAAAATTAGCTGTTGGTTGTCGATCTGACCAATCAGGAAGTTTCATTAAATTGTTGGTTGTCGATCTGACCAATCAGGAACGGTTTCATTAAAATTAGCGTTGTCGATCTGACCAATCGATTAGTCGATGACCAATCAGGAACGGTTTCATTAAAATTAGCTGTTGGTTGTCGATCTGAATGAAAATCAGGAACGGTTTCATTAAAATTAGCTGTTGGTTGTCGATCTGACCAATCAGGAACGGTTTCATTAAAATTAGCTGTTGGTTGTCGATCTGACCAATCAGGAATTAAAATTAGCTGTTGGTTGTCGATCTGACCAATCAGGAACGGTTTCATTAAAATTAGCTGTTGGTTGTCGATCTGACCAATCAGGAACGGTTTCATTAAAATTAGCTGTTGGTTGTCGATCTGACCAATCAGGAACGGTTTCATTAAAATTAGCTGTTGGTTGTCGATCTGACCAATCAGGAACGTTTCATTAAAATTAGCTGTTGGTTGTCGATCTGACCAATCAGGAACGGTTTCATTAAAATTAGCTGTTGGTTGTCGATCTGACCAATCAGGAACGGTTTCATTAAAATTAGCTGTTGGTTGTCGATCTGACCAATCAGGAACGGTTTCATTAAAATTAGCTGTTGGTTGTCGATCTGACCAATCAGGAACGGTTTCATTAAAATTAGCTGTTGGTTGTCGATCTGACCAATCAGGAACGGTTTCATTAAAATTAGCTGTTGGTTGTCGATCTGACCAATCAGGAACGGTTTCATTAAAATTAGCTGTTGGTTGTCGATCTGACCAATCAGGAATTTCATTAAAATTAGCTGTTGGTTGTCGATCTGACCAATCAGGAACGGTTTCATTAAAATTAGCTGTTGGTTGTCGATCTGACCAATCAGGAACGGTTTCATTAAAATTAGCTGTTGGTTGTCGATCTGACCAATCAGGAACGGTTTCATTAAAATTAGCTGTTGGTTGTCGATCTGACCAATCAGGAACGGTTTCATTAAAATTAGCTGTTGGTTGTCGATCTGACCAATCAGGAACGGTTTCATTAAAATTAGCTGTTGGTTGTCGATCTGACCAATCAGGAACGGTTTCATTAAAATTAGCTGTTGGTTGTCGATCTGACCAATCAGGAACGGTTTCATTAAAATTAGCTGTTGGTTGTCGATCTGACCAATCAGGAACGGTTTCATTAAAAAGCTGTTGGTTGTCGATCTGACCAATCAGGAAATTAAAATTAGCTGTTGGTTGTCGATCTGACCAATCAGGAACGGTTTCATTAAAATTAGCTGTTGGTTGTCGATCTGACCAATCAGGAACGGTTTCATTAAAATTAGCTGTTGGTTGTCGATCTGACCAATCAGGAACGGTTTCATTAAAATTAGTTGTTGGTTGTCGATCTGACCAATCAGGAACGGTTTCATTCAGATCAGCTATTGGTTGCCGAATTAACCGAATAACAATTTCATTAAGGTTAGCCGTTGATTGCCGCAAATAACAGTTGCTATTATTCGCATTAATCAGTATCTCAAAGTAGTTTTGCAAAGCCTATAAAAAAAGAAATAAACTGTTTACAACAATCATTTAAGAATTTGTTAGAAAGCCGTAAAACATTTGAATCATACATTTCTAATTTTATTGAGTCAATAAATTCTGCATCTGTCATTACAAAATTTTTTTCCCAAAAAAATTCCTCTTCTTTCAAAATTGTTACAAAAAAAGTGTCAAAATACTAAAAGAGATTCGAAATGGTAAAATTTCAAGCAATTGGATTACTCAAGAAAAATAACAAACCTCTGCAGTTTTTGGACACACTTCGTAAAAAGATTCAGTGATTCCACAGCCAAAGTATCGTTTGGCAAAGTCACACCATTCAGATGAGAAATCAAATGTTTTCTTATTTAAAATTCTTTCCTAAGTTTAAAAAATGTTTTGAATTAAAAAAAAAAATGAAATGAAACGATAATCATCCAATCTTTATATTTCAAGACATCATTAGTTGTAAAGTATTTGCAAGAGCAGTTGTAAAATCAAACAATGATTATACCAGTCAGCTGGTAACCTTAAGGTAAATTAAATTGAAAGGCTTTAATACTAATATTTTAATATTTTAAGTATGAAGCAAAATAAAGAACCGTTTTCAAAAGAGAATTATATGCAGCTGAGAAAAGATCAACATTTGAACATTCACTTTGATTACAAATTGATTGAAGCTTTTCTATGCAGCTTTCTTGATTTAATAATGAATTAATGAAGCTATTGCTACAGTAATAATCATAAATCTTTTCCAGATGTGTATTCATTTTCCTGAAAAGTAGCTGAAATATTGATACTTCCTGATTAATACAAAAATGTAAGACTGAATGAGCTTACACAGATTTGAATCTGTGCCAGTTTTAGGGCCATACGGAAGACATGGTTATATGCTGCCAAAACAGAAATGCAAACCTGCATTGGGAACTAATACCCTGAACATTTTTCTTGTAAATTTCGTAATCTAAACAAGGAGTTCTCTCGATTAATTGATTGAAAGGAATCCGGAACAATCGGTACGGGAGATATTCATATTTTCTCAACTCTCTTGCTGCTTCCAATATGTATCGTTCACTGGCTATATCGCATCGTTCGTTATTTTTATTTGTTGAATTTAATAAATCTGAAAGAATTGATATAAATAACGCGCAAAGTTGAAAAATTCAATTTCTAATAATCTAATTAATTTAAAATGACATATTCCGAGATTTCGTTTGTTCGTTAAAAAGTTTGTTTAAAAAAAAAAAAAAAAAAAAAAAAAAAACAGTGTTCTCACTGCTTGAAGTTTAAATTGGATAAAAATTGTTTCTGAAGTAAAAATAATTGCAGTGAGTATATATATATATATATATATATTATATATTAGCTTCTAAATGTGTAAAAACGAATTATTTAATAATACAATGAAAAATGCAATATACCTCCTAACGAGTTATTAATTTTACTGGAGTTTCCGCTCAACTGAGTAATATTTTCTGGATCGGTAAGATTTAAACTTGATGAATTAAAATTGAACTTTTGCAAATCGCATGAATTTTGATTGGAATTTAGAAGCAATTCATAGTACCTTCGCATAATCTGGAAATAATATTTAAAGAAATATAATCGAAAAAATAGTCAAAGCTAGTATCTACATCAAATAAGACATTGGGAAAATTTTAAGAAGCTAAATGTTTACATTCGAAAAGATTTAACCAAATTCTGCATGATTTCAGTACAGAATGTACAAGAATCTGATGTTAACTTATCAACTGAAATTGTTTATTGCCAGAAATCTTTGGATGGAAGATGATATGACCGGAGACAAATGAATTAGTAATTGCCAAGTAATTACTACTTGGTAATTAATGATTATGTAATGAAAAACCTGAGCAACGGCAGAACATGTTTTGTTGTAAGCACTGGTGAGATTACAATTAAGATACCACTGCACAATGCGACATTTGCGCCCTTCGACTTTGTTGTGTTCGTATTCCTAAAGATTTGAAACTTCATTATTTGAGAAAAACCGTCATCATTAAATAATAATAGTATGATCTCATTTAAAACTATTTGAAAGCATTTAAAAATATTGAAATTCCTAACTTTCATCAATAAGGTGAGTAGAAAGGATTACTTTGACACAACTGCAAAAGATTATTTCACAGATCTTGAATGAATTTATGTACGTTATTTAGAAATATTAATTGCTCTAATTTCGCATTCAAATGGCGCTCTGTATATTCAAAAACGAATCAAAATAAACTTAATTGGACATAAATGTAGCATTTTTCCATGTTTTGGAAAATTATGCCACAAAAGCTGCTTTTCATAAAGAGAGCAATTGAGTTTATAGTAAGACCTTAGAGAAATAAATTTGAAATTATTTGATATTAGGAATTACAGGGTCATCTCACTACAATGTATCTTGACCCTGAAGTAGAAATTGTTTATCGTTGGAAACCAGAGCAAGATCATTAGCTTAGATGACATCATACCCCTGTTGATGGATTTTTTCCTATCAAACTTTTTGATTTGCATAAAAAACAAGAAGTCTTATAAATGATCAATCTTGAAAGGATTTCGCGTTGCTGTTTCACTAATCTCAGATTTTTTAAATTTATTTCCTTGCAGAGAAATAAATGAAATAATTTCTAAATGTTCATGATCACGACTTCTCTAAATTGTTTTTTGCAATACGAAGAAATAATTATTCGCCTTTTGATGTCTTTGGTACTAAAACGATTAAAGCGTTCCATGCAGAATATTAATGAGGATAACGAAACGAATAATTATACTTTTTCTGTTCAAAGTTATTGTGAGAGGAATTGTTGATTCAAAATAGAAATAAATGCTGCTTAATAGTGCCTTCTGAGATAAAAACAAATTAATAGGGAAAAGAAAACATTCTTAAAAAATTAAAACCTGTCTGATAATAAATTCAAAACTAACACTTTGGAAAAGAGTTGTTTCTTGATTGGAATGAAGGGAGCTATTATCGAAGCATTCCGGGGAAAATATAAAGTAATTTCTAAAGTTATTGAAGCAAGCGTAATGTTCACGCAACTGTTTTTGTAAACTATTAGAGCATATCTCAATGAGAAAGCGATCCGATTGATCATTTAATGTTCTGAAATTTATAAATTGTGCAAGAACATCGTTTATTCGTTCCGTTTACTGTTGCAGTGAATTTCTAAATTAACAGACTTTATTCCATTTCTAGAACCGGATCCAGAATTCTCTAAAAAGCAGAAAAAGCAAATTATGAAGCTTGATGATATTCAGACAAACACCTTACTTTATTTTAAAAAGGGAAAAGCGACCTGCAATCATAATCACTGGTATAGTTCTTATATTCGCTATATAATTTACAAAGTATCGATTGTGCATCAGCAAATGATTTCTCAAAAAAAAGTCGGTCGAAATAAAATTTGTCCAAAAATGGAATCAGACATTTCTCAACAATCCATTGTTCTGTTACGAAATCGCAATGCGATTTATTTCTTTCTGTAATGCGTTTCAATGTGAAAAGTTTCATTAGCTTAAAGAAATTGTCTTGATAGTTCATGAAAATAAACTATTTATAATTATTTTTTTTTTTTTGCGACAAAAAAAATCAAAAAAAAAAAATTAATGGTACCACAATACTTAATTAAATCTTTAATTTAGAAAAAGGGATGGAAAAAAGGAATCTTACCATTATAAGTTAAAATATTAGGTACGAGAAGCAAGAAAATGATGCCCAGCATAGTTAGTTACAAAACTATAGATCGCAACACCGATCGCAACACCAAATTTGGAGAATATACACTGTGAATTATCGAGGATATCTTTAGTGGTGGAAAGAGATCTAGGGTTAATGAAGGATGGATTTGATTCTGACAAAACAAAATATTGTCTCCTTGACGCATCAGATTATGACATATAACCTCGATGGTTCACAGTATGGACCTAAGGTCAAATCGTGAGTGGCGTCAAGTGCTTTACGAAAAGAATATTTAATGAGAAAAAGTGTTTCAGATTATTATTAAGAACTTAATCCATGGATTTTTGAACGGAGACTTCAGAATGAATGCTGCCTACTTTTATCATTATTAATACATGGTGTGATGCGCTTATATTCATTGTCTCATGCACTACTCGTTTTGGAAACTAATGAAATGATGGAAAATGACGATTCCTTCATTATTAAAATCACATGTTTCCGTTCACGTAACAAATATTTTTCATGGATATCCAGTTTTTGGTTATCATTTTTGTGACCACTGGAGAGAAACTCGATGTGCTTAACAATTAAGCGCTAGATACATTTTATCTTATCTTCAACAATAATTCAAAAAAGGTTCGATTTTCTTACTTTATTCTTGTAATTCTCATTTCTCGCCAATGTTATGGAATATAGTACTTTGGAATTGTATTTTCTTTAGTATTCGTGAAGTACACAATATCAGCTCCGACCGATAAGTCAAAACAAGAATGGTTTTCCATTACTTTTTTTCTCTTTGATGGATTCTTCAAAACTTAGATTTACAACTAATTCAAGAAGATCGGTTTAAATACTGTGAATAATAAATTTGACTGTGGTAGAAAACAGCGCTTAGAACAGTATCATTTTCAGCAGATCATATTATATTTTGCTTTTTTTTGTCATATTTTACTCCTTGGCTCTTCATGCAGCACTTTGCTAACAAACATTTTTGTTTGTTTGTTTGTTTACTGAATTTAGCTGTTCCATTGAACAACCTCAGTTACCCTTAGGTAATGAAGGGAAGACGAAAAGAACAGCAAAGGGAAAAGATGGAGCATAACATGTTTAGACACACTTCATGTAGTCCCTTCTAAGACCCACTTCCAAATCTGCTCTAATATCACCAACAGTAATCTCTAACATCATTTCTGTTTCAATCCACTGATTATTCTCTCACTCTGTACAGTCCACATCTTCTACGTTTACGTAACTTCCAACTCCTCTTTACACGCAGCATCACACGCCCATCACGTATTACCCTCACTTGTGTTAGTTACCTTACTATGTTAATCTCACAGTGGCATCATTCCGGTTGAGAGACGACTAGCGAGAAAACTTTGGTGACGTACTTACCCGTGTCTTATCTGTATGCTACTGAACGGACGGAAGTGAGGTCAGGTTCGACTTCTTTAGAGTTCATCTGTTCTTCTATCACATTAAAGTCATTCTTTGCACCTTCAACGGTGTGAATAACAGTTCTTCCCTCACTGCTTCCCTGAAGGTTGTAATATTCAACCTCTGTTTCCCTTCGCTTTAAAGGAAAAAAATACCTGTAATTCACTAGGTGTATGTTGACATGTGCGTTAAGATCGACTGTGGAGTGCATCTCACTTACGTTGCAAGTTTTTTTTTTTTTTTTTTTTTGCATATGGAACGGGTGACTGTCTAAGAGATTACAGGAAATGCTAATGAGGAGGTGACACTAGAGGGTGAATGCCCACTGGCGACATCAGTTGTACTTCCCTCACACTTGAAATAATGACGGTGCGGTTTTGTTTTGTAGAATTTAATTCCTTCATATATTTTAAATATATTTAAGCAGTCAATAATATCAAACAATAGAAGCCTAACATAATATCAAACAAAAGTCTTGCCTAACATTTTGTCTCGTATATTTTTTGAGCTATAGTTGCAATGTTTTACCAATATAGATCTGATTCAGATATTTGTTTTTTGTTTGTTTGGTTTTAATCATGAACTATTTCTTTGCGTAACAGGTCTACTGTTTCAAAGAGGAAAAAAGAATGCTTTCCTATTTTAATACCCAACATTCTGTGTATTTAATTTTGTTTAAAACAAAATCACTGTTGAACTCATTGCCATTAATGAAATTTTAAAATGAGCGTGCATTTAAAGTTGCACTTTTTAACTGTATAGTACTGTCATTACTTTATCATTGTTGTAAGAAATAGAAATCTCATGCATGATCAGTGATATCGACTACTTCATCACAATTATGATTATCACAAAGAATTAATTTGTTGTTTGTTCGGTGGGGAATTGTGTAAAGTTTTTCCATCAAATTTTTTCTCACTCTGTAGAAATTGATTAACTAACAAACAAATTTTGCTCTGTGTTACCAGTCATTCGTTACATTTCTCTTGGTAGAAAAGTTTTGTATTTATAATGATTTCAATTAATTTAAGGAAAACAGTCCATGGCTGGGCGAGCAGTGATGCGTTCCGGAAATACAGGCGGTCCAAACAAAACTTGCCAGTTTAAATTGGTTTTGTTGGGTGAAAGTGCAGTTGGTAAGTATTTTTATATTTAATCCTCTATTGCTACAGAGCCAAAAAGGAAGGCCTTCTTCTATTTCATTACTGGACCAATACTGTGATAACATGATACTGCTGTTTTCGATGTTTTTCAGACAAGGAGCATCATATTTTCAGGGAAGTCATCATTGGTCCTAAGATTTGTAAAGGGACAGTTCCATGAGTACCAGGAATCAACAATTGGTGCTGCATTCCTCACTCAAACTGTTTGTTTGGACGATACCACAGTGAAATTTGAAATATGGGATACTGCAGGACAGGAAAGGTACCCAGTTTTTAAACACGTTTTTTATTAAAAGAACTTTTTATGGAAGCTACTTTATACGTTTTAGTGTATTTTGAAATTTGGAAGTACTTTTCTTAGTTTATTAAGAATGCTTAGTTCGGCTAACAGTTTAGCTGCATTTTGCTATTAATCCTTTAAATAGAAGCTTCGATGCTTGCATCAATTATAACATCAATTTTTAGCGGTTTCCTTAGCTGGATGATATGGCCTAGCAATTTTTATGTAAAGGGTGCATGATAGTAAGTTTGGTGCTGATGAATGCTAGAATTGCAGTTTTTACATTTTTTATCTTTAAATGTTGCTGTCTAATTCCCTTTACAGATACCATTCATTAGCACCGATGTACTACCGCGGAGCACAAGCGGCAATAGTTGTTTATGATATTACAAACCAGGTGCCTTTTTAATATTCCAATAGAAATACAAATTTTTTCATTCTACTTGGATAAACAAAGAAAAGTGCTGTTCCCTTATTTGCTGTTTGAGAATATTTGTAGTGAAGCTAAATCTAATAAATATTGTGAGTTTTAATACTAATTTTGTTAGTGTTTAACTATCATGGAAATTAATGACAATTAAGTACTGTAGTAGATCTGTATCCAATGTTTATGTAGCTGTTAAAGTTGGGGATGCTTTAATTCCTTTGTACCTCATCACGACATGAAGTGGATCGACGATGCATCAGAGGTGCCTTAAAATATGCCAAAAATTGTAGCTTTTAAAATAGTAGAAGGGAATTAAAACAGTAAGAATAAGCATTCATTATTTTCTCTGATGTATGTTTATATGATCTTAATGTTTCAGTGGTGATACAATACATATTTAACTAGCTACTTACAGGAATCATTTGCGAAGGCGAAAAATTGGGTAAAAGAGTTGCAGCGGCAAGCCAGTCCGAACATTGTAATTGCTTTATCAGGAAATAAAGCTGATCTTGCAAACAAACGAGTTGTTGAATATGAGGTTATTTGTTATTTCCGTTCTTGAGCTCATATTCTTCTTTTATTACAGAAGTAATATAATTTCATCGTGGTATTTCCTTTTTTTAACTTTTTTGTGATTCATTTCGCTAGTTTATTTTTGAATCTTTTGTTTCACAATAGCTTGTTTATGGGGAACAGTTCATATCATGCAAACAATTATGGAAGTGAAGTTTTCTTTGTTGAAATAATTGAGCATTAATCTCAGAGTTGTAAGACACGTTAATCCTCCATGGTTTTCCATTATCGTTGTTAATGCATAACATTTGTAAATTTAATTATAGGAAGCTCAGGCTTATGCAGAAGATAATGCGTTGTTATTCATGGAAACCTCAGCAAAAACTGCAATGAATGTAAATGACATCTTCCTTGCGATTGGTTAGACCTGCAGTTCATCGCTTAGGATAAATTTATCTAATGAAGTTGTAAACTTCTGTGATTCTAAAAATAAGTTTAGGAAGAACTAAATTGCAGCTAAGAAACTACCAAAAGGTGATGGGACTGGTGGTGGTCCATCAGGACGTGGTCATGAAGGAATAGATATCGGCCAAGAGGGTCAAGGTCAAAGTGTAAGTTCTGGTTTATGCTGTAAATAATGCAGCCAGAATATCCAGAACTAAAAACAACAACAAAAGCGCATTTTGTTCGATTCTTTGCGGAGAATGAGCATAATTTGCTGGCCTCAACAAACATCAGCCTTTTATTACTATTGATCCAAAAAATCTAACACATTTGAAAATTCTACGTTCTTTTCAATTGTACTTTTCAGAGCAGTGAGAAAAAGCATTATTTCATTGTTGGTGCTCTGAAATTTTCTATTTCTAATATTACAAATTCGAAAAACTATACCTTCCTTCTAGGTTATTATTGATACTCTCCGATGCAAAAATTTTGCAACTATTTTTTTGTTCGGATAGGTCTTATGAAGGTTATGTCCATAACTTGGCATTCTCTCAATTTCGTATAAAAATATTTCTGTAGGTTTTGTTTTATTTTTTCTGTTTTTCCAGAAAAATCCGTAACTAATAACGAATATTCTTTAATGATATCAAACAAAAGTATAGTCCTCACAGAGTGACCAAGTATTTTTGAATGGCGTCTACGTCATGACTAATCATTATTGATAGTTTTTGAAGTTGATAAGTTTGCCAAACATATTAACAGGTTTCATTTCTTTTAACTCAATTTATTTTTGAATATTTTTATTTTTTTATTTCAGCCATTATGCTGGAATATTCCAGTGAATATTTTCCAGTGAATATTATTATTATAAATTTAAGACTACTATTATAAATCTAAGGTTTAGGTAACTTTTGAAAAATTCAAAAAATTGCACTTTTTAAATCCCTTTTTATTTATTTTTGTTTTTATAACATAATTAACATAATTTTCTTCAAAATTTTATGAATATAATGTATAGTCCTTATAGGAAAGTTACTGTAGGATCGCACAGGTTTATTGGAATAATATTTTTGGGTGTGTTATAAGAGATGAGAATTTAATAAAAGGATTTCTTGACGTAAAAAATATGCATACTTTTGAAGTTTGCTTTGTTTATTCCAACTGGTGTTGTGATCATCGTTTATGAGACATTATATATTCTGAACTCAGATAAAAAGTGCTCTGAATTTTGTTTGTCTTTTTACCAATTGTGGTTGTTATAACCTGTTACTACTTGTTTTTTATAAATAGTGCTCATAGGAAATTTATTCTAGGATTTTTGGTCTTAAACTTGTTTAAGATTAAAATCACAGAGTTAGCTCAAAAATATTTTTTTTTAGCGGATTTCAGGAAGTGTGGAGTATTAAAGAATTCTTTCCTTTATCATTGAATTACTGAAATTAACATAGTGGTTGCCGTAAATTTTTTTTCGGTTTTTCTCTTGTTTCAGTACTTTTGAGAAATTTTGTGTAATATTTACGAGAGCATCTAGCGAGAAACGTGTTATGATGGCTATTCAGAACGCAGAGCACGTGTACATTCTGCGGGATGAACGCCCTCCATTCGAAGCTGCTGTATGTCTTCTATACGCCGTTCATTATTCATAGTGTAGAAAAGATTTCGGTCAGCGATATTTCTAAGATGGGTTTCTCTGTTTTCTGTATTCATTTCAGATACCTCTTTCGATTTTTCAATTGCTAAATTTTTTTAGTTTAATCATTTTCTTTCTTGATATATTTCGGGTGACTCGATTTCTCTCACCTGATTATGCCAATCCGACGACCCTATTAAGCTAACGAAGGGGTTCAATTCCATACTACGCCATTACAATATATAACTGTTGGAAATTACATACACATTAGATGTGTAGAATTTCATATCTTTCTGAGCATTCACATTAGAGGAGTTGTATACGTTAATGTTTGTTTGTCATTTCTACTTTATTTATTGCTGGATTGATGAGACTGTTTGTTTTATATAAGAAATTTATGAAAAAATAGAGAATGTCTATAAAAATGTAATATTTCTTATGGAGATTTATCAAAACGACTTTAGTTCATTGTTTTAGAGTGAGTTCGAATGGAAACAGGGGTGTTGGGATCCACGTACGGTTGGCTTGTCAATCGATGCCACGCCAACGACTACACGAAGTGTTCTAAGACTAATTAAAGAAGTATGTTTATATGTTAATCTTTACAATTTTTATATGCATAACATCTCGGGTAGTCATGATTTTGTGTTTTGTATGTTTTATAGATGAAAGAGCTTAAAAGAAATCCAGTGAAATACTGTAGAGCGGCACCGAGAGCCGATAACATTCATGAATGGACTGCAGTGATCAATGGACCCGAAAATACCGTTTATGAAGGTGGTACGTTTTTCGTGCAGATGTTTGTGCCGCCAACATACCCTTTCAATTCACCTAAGGTATTTTTGTAACATTATAACGAGAACGGATATTTTTAGAAGGCATTTTTTTTTCAGTGTTGTAAATAAAGAACCTTATAGTGAAAGGTTTTCTGCATATTTCAGGTGCAGTTCTTAACAAGGATATATCACTGCAATATCAATCGACACGGTGTTGTTAATATTGGTATTTTACGTGATCGATGGAGTTCCTCAATGACAATTGCAAGAATTTTGCAAGAAATAGTTGGTCTTCTATATGATTGCAAACCCGGTGCGTTTCATTTCTTTCCAACTTCTAATTTGTTTTGGAATAGTAATAGCCACTGATATCATATTGTTAGTGCGGCATTTTTTCGATTCCCAGATCGGACACTTCATCTAGATAACTAAATGTTGATATTTTTCTTTATTTTCGTTTCACATATTGTAGTTGCTATTTAAGTTCAAAGTTCGAACTGACACTTGAACAATCAACGACCTTGTAAGTCATAAAATTATTTCTAGAAAATGCTCTGCTTGAAAATGTTGCGGAACAGTATGTGAACAATCGAAAGGCATTTGATGCTATAGCACGAGTTTGGACACTACGATTTGCTCACTGATTTCTGATTTTTTTTATTTCAAATCTGATCGAACGGTGAAATTGCTCGCTTTTCTTTTACTGTGTTAAATAGATATTTGGATTGTTTTATTCGCTTACTTTTTTCTGCTTCTAAATCTAGATCGAAACTTGCACAAAGGCGACAATGCAAGATATTTATTCAGCGGTAAAATTCACTTAAATGCTGTAATCATAGAATACATCCTGAGTTCTTTAAGAATTAATAGGAGTATTCATATGAGATGTACTTTGTCATAATTTTCATTTTGCATAGTAGGTGATAGCTTGCCTCTGTTGTGCATCACGTCATTTGGCATTAACTAATTGTAATAAATTTGTTTTACAGTCAGGATATGTTCCGGTTTGTTGTCTTCCTTTGCGGTATTTGAATATTTCATGAATGAAGTGTTTCATATGAAAAATATGGGATGTACTTTCAGCCCAATGTCTTGCTTTCATCTGATCATTACTTCTTGTATAATGAGAAAGTAGCATCTTCATGTGCGGACGAATACTATTTGCCGGTACTTCAATTGCTGATTCTCTTTGGTTATTAAATATGTATTCATTTTGACTTAGGGATTTCAGATATTTATATAAACAATTATTTCATTAGTTCCAATAAAACTGTGAAACATCAGAGGAATAGCGAATGAACAGTCTGGAAGGAGCACGAGTAGCTCTGTTGGCATGTGGTTGTTATAACCCGCCAACAATTATGCACCTTAGGATGTTCGAAAGCGCTCGTGATTTCTTGGAAGTTCGCTATGGATGCGAAGTGGTTGAAGGAATTTTAAGTCCAGTTGCTGATTATTTTGGCAAAGCTGATTTGTTGCCTGCAACACACAGGTAAATAATAATGCTTTTTTAGCTTTTGATGGCTTTTAATAATCAGTTTGCTTGTGGGAAATTGTATTTTCTTTTTTTTGGTCCACAAAATCGGTTACTAACTATTGTAGAACTACTACATTTCTATATGCGATGGTGTTTGACAAAATTCTGAATCATAACTGTTTGAGGAAATCAAAAGAGATCTTTCTATTGCATATCAGATTTCTTAACTGTCAATAGTAAAAAAATTTGTTGAGAAATGTCAACATTTCTCAAGATATTTCAGGTATAAGATGTCAGAATTAGCAGTGAAGAGTTCAACGTGGATTCGAGCTGACCAATGGGAGTGCACTCAAAAGCAGTGGACCAGAACACTTTTAGTTTTGATACACTTTAAGCAGATGTTAGATCGGAAATACAATGATAGACGGTTGCGTTTGATGTTGTTATGCGGTGGTGACGTTGTGGATTCATTCAAGCGAATAACACCTTCGGGAGATTATCTTTGGGATCCCTCAGATATTGGTGCAATTATACGAGATTTCGGTAAATGATAGAATTAAAATTGTATTTTATTTTAAAATGCATACAATGAAACTTTATTACGTCTAATGTTGTGCCCAGTGATTTATCTCTTTCAACAAATACTGCTATTCCGGTTTCGATGTTGAAATATGATGTTGTACTTCAGGTTTGGTAGTACTGGCAAGACAAAATGCAGAACCAATGAAAACTTTGAGTCAACTTGGCTATAATGGTCAATCATTAGCGAATGTGTTTATTTTTGAAGATACAGCTTTACCTAATGATATAAGCTCTACACGTTTACGGGCTGCGATTCGACGTGGTGAATCGATAAAATATTGTACGATGGATTCGGTAGTGGATTACATTAGAAAACACCAACTTTATCGTATTAAGAATAATCAAGTTACAAACTGTTCTTAGTAAGTTCTATTAACAAATTGTCTGTGTACATCATGCCTTTTTATTTTACTGTTTTGTACAGGTGATATTTTTAGAGTGCGTAGAGAGAAAGTGTTAGTCGGAGAAATACATTTAACGATTTAATTTATTCAGTTTTCGCTGCATTAGTATCTTTTTCTATTTACTGAACTATTAGAACCAACACTTGGTATTCTTATGACAAGTGCTGTGCACATCATTATTCATTTATTCAGTATTATTTCAGAAGAAGTAATTACTGATGAGACAGTTTGCCCATTTTGAATTTTTAATAACGTCATCAGTTTTTGACTAATATATGATCGTTCTTATTCTTGTCAGGTTGTGTAGTATGACCAAGTCTCATGT